ATAATTTCCATTGGTTATTATTATTTTGTGTGTGTGTGACAGTCCCACTATGTCACCCTCAGTAGAGGGTGGATTCCACATTATTCTGGTGTGGAATCACAGCTTACAGCAACCTTAAACTCTTGGGCTTAAGCTATTCTCTTGTCTCAGCCTCCCAAGTAGCTATGACTACAGGTGCCTGCTACAATACCCAGCTATTTTTGTTGTTGTCATTGTTGTTTAGCGGACCCGGGAGAGTTCAAACCCACCAGCCCTGGTGCATGTGGCCAGTGCTTTAACCACTGAGCTATGGGCGTGGAGCCGCCATCAGTTATTTTTATAATTTCTATCTCTACTGTGTCTATTTGACACAATGTCATTATATACCTTTCTTCTGTAGTGGTTTCCCTTAGTTCTGTAAACATACTTATAGTAGCTATTTTGAAATATTTTTCTGTTGAGTGAATACCTGGTTGCTCTCACAAACCATTTCCATTGCCTGTTTTTTCCCCCTGGTGTATAGGTCATACTTTCCTGTTTCTTTGTGTCTCTCTTTTTTTGTTGGAAAGTGAATGTTTTCATAACATTGTAGCAACTTTGGGTACTGGTCTGACCCCCGTTCTGGGGTTTGTTATTACTATTTGCTTATTTGTTTAGTGTGTAGCTGGATTATTTTAGTGAAGTCTACCCCTCTTCCCCACAGTATTGAGCCTCTGATGTTTCTTCTCAGCAAGGGATAGCTATGGGTATGCTCAAAGTTAACCAGGAGACTAGTAGAGGCTCTCTCATTCTCTCTCCCTGATGCCCAGCTGTTAAACTGCATTAAGTGCCACTACTGAACTTCACTGACCTAGTGTTTTCCAACAATGTTCTGGGCCATAAATTCCTTTTCAAACTAGTCTAAATTGTGGCCTCTTGGAAGGATAGTTTCTGAGGTGAATATTCAAGATTGGTATTTTCTCTAATCCCAAGAGGGCTCCCCAGTTTTCTCCTATAAACTAGCCAACCTGTCATCTAGACTGTACCTTCATTACATCCGTGAATCTCCTTCCAATTGCCTTTCACCATAACCTCCACTGTTCTTGAGAGTGCCCTTAGGTTTAGATTTCCCCACATTCTGTTTCGAGTAAAGTTAGTTCATCTAGAAAGAGATCAGGGGCTATCTTTTAAAATCTTCTTCTCCCCCAAGGCAAAAACTCAATGGCCAGCTTCTGAGTAATACCCCCATTTTAGGAGCTGAGCACTCAGTGAAGAGGATGCAGCAGCCTCTCTTGGCATATAACTACAACCTCATGAACTGGGAGGGGCCTGTCAGGTTCCTGGTATTCTTAGCATTGCCATGCCCAAGGTAGAGCCTCCCTTCCACAAACGAGGACCATGTGGTAAAAAGAGCACCCACTTCTCAACCATGCTCACCCAGGACTTAGCTTTAGCAATAGGTAGTTGGGAGCAAGATGAAAAACACTGAAATTGATTCTCCTCCCAGGAAGAAAGTCCTCTGGTTGGGAGCTAGGGGTGATGTGTTCTTGGCTGCATCATTCTGGTGTGGAATCCACCTCCTTTTGCTGGGAGTAAATGGTCTTGGTTCAAATACTACAGACTCCTGTCTTTCTTACTAAAATTTCATAGATTTTCTTGAATACCTATTCCTTCATTTCCTTTTGCCCTTTGGACTATTTCCAGAAGTCTTATTTTTTAGTTTTTAAATACTTTTTAAATACAATTATTTTGTAGAGCCAGGGTCTTGTTTTGATGCCCAGGCTGGTGTTGAACTCTGGCCTCAAGATAGCCTCCTGCCTCAGCTTCCCAAAGGGCTAGGATTACAGGTGTGAGCTGCTGCTCCTGGCCAAAGCTTTTCTTTTATTATTATTTTTTTAGACCAAATCTCACTTTGTTGCCCTTGGTAGACTGCCACTATGTCATAGCTCACAACAACCTCAAACTCTTTGAGCTCAAGTGATCCTCTTGCCTCAGCCTCCCAAGTAGCTGGGACTACAGGAACCTGCCACAATGCCTGGCTATCTTTATTTTTGAAATTATTCTTATTTTTTAATTTTTTTAGAGACAGAGTCTCACTTTGTCACCCTCGGTAGAGTGCTATGGTGTCACAGCTCACAGCAACCTCCAGCTCTTGGGCTTAGGCGATTCTCTTGCCTCAGCCTCCCAAGTAGCTGGGACTACAGGCACCCGCCACAATGCACGGCTATTTTTTTGTTGCAGTTTAGCCGGGGCCAGGTTCGAACCCACCAACCTTGGTATGTGGGGCCAGTGCCCTACTCACTGAGCCACAAGTGCTGCCCCTGGCTATCTTTAGAAATGAGATCTTGTTGCTCAGGCTGGTCTCAAACTCCTGAGCTCAAGTAATCCACTTGCCTCAGCCTCCCAGAATGCTAGGATTGCAGGCATGAGCCACTGTGCTTGGCCCCCTGGTCAAAGCTTTAATTTAAAAATAATAATAATTTTTACTAGTTTTACTGAGGAGCTGATCCTCATGTTTTTATTCTAGCTGTCTACTTTTTATTTCTTTTATTGAGACATAGCCTCACTCTGTTGCCTGGGTAGAGTGTTCCTGACAGCAATGTCAAACTCTTGGGCTAAAGAGATCCTCTTGCATCAGTCTCCCAATAAGCGGGAACTATAGGTGGCCAAACAACACCTGGCTGGTTTTTCTATTTTTAGTATAGACATTGTCTTGCTCTTGCTCAGGGTGGTCTTAAACTTCTGAGCTCAAGCAATCTACCCGCCTCGGCCTCCCAGAGTGCTAGGATTACAGGCACGAGCCACTATAGCCAGCTATTTCTTTTTCTTGCATATTGCATGGGGTTAGAAATTCCACTGATACGTTGAAAAGAGTGAAGAGAGCAGATACTCTTGCCTTGTTCCCAATCTTCAAAAATATTAAGTCTCTCATCATTATGATATTAGCTGTACGTTTTTTGTATGTGATCTTTATCAAGTTTATTTTAACTTGATAATTTTTTTAAATCATAAATGATGTGGGGTACGTCAGATGCTTTTTCTAGTGTCAATTGGCATTATCGTAAGTTTTTCTCTTTTAACCTGTTGGTGTTGTGAATTAGGTTGACTGATTCTTGCATACCTGGAATAAATTTCCCTTGGTCATAGTGTATAATTGTTTTTATACATTGTTGGATTTGATTTCCCAGTGCGTTACTGAAATTTTTTCTGCCTATGTTGATGAGAGATGCTGGTCTGTAGTTTTTGTTTTTGTTCTTTGAGGTTTGTGGGGATTGTTTTATGTTTTTGTTTTTGGTACTTGGTTGGTTTTAGCATCCAAATTTTTTCTTTTTCTTTTTTTTCTTCTTTTTTTTTTTGAGACAGAGTTTCACTATGTCACCCTTGGTAGAATGCCGTGGCGTCACAGCTCACAGGAACCTCAAACTCTTGGGCTTAAGTGATTCTCTTGCCTCAGCCTCCCAGGTAACTGGGACTACAGGCGCTGGCCCCAATGCCTGGCTATTTTTGTTGTTGTTGTTGCAGTTGTCGTTATTTTCTAGCTGGCCCAGGCCAGGTTCAAACCCACCAGTCTTGGTGTATGTGGCTGGCGCCCTATCCACTGGCTACAGGCTCTGACTGGCATCCAGATATTTCTTATCTCATAAAATGAATTAGAAGTGTCCCCTCCTCTTCTGTTTTCTGAAAGAGGTTGTTTAAAATTGATGTTCTTTTTTTTTTTTTTTTAGGAGACAGTCTTGCTTTGTCGCCCTTGGTAGAGTGCTGTGGCGTCACAGCTCACAGCGACCTCAAACTCTTGGCTTAAACGATTCTCTTGCCTCAGCCTCCCAAGTAGCTGGGACTACAGGCGTCTGCCACAACACTCAGCTATTTTTTTGTTGCAGTTTGGCTGGGGCCAGGTTCGAACCCACCACCTTCTGTATAGGGGGCCAGCGCAGGCAGTCAGGTATGTGGTGCTCATCCTTGAGGCAGGTCTAAGGGGAGTCAGAGAGCAGCCTCTGGCTTCATGAGCTTGAAATTGGAACCAGCAGAAGACTGAGGATGTGGATGGCTCCCTCTGTGTCTGTAATAATGGCTGCTTTGATTCCCCTATCCCACTCTGGTGATGACAATGCCTCATTCATCCGTCTCCCAGTGCCTGGCACGGCAGAGGGCGATGCTCAGTGAATCTGGGTGGTGCACCGGCCTTTGTGGAAGCAAGAGCCCATTTCAGGAAGGCCAAGGGCTGCGCTTCCTCTTGGGGGATGTGGCAGAAGGGGCTGCCAGGAATAGAGGCGCATTTCTTCCCTTGCCTGGAGAACTAGGGGCAGGGGGGATAAGATTACCGATTTTCCAGTTTCTGAGAGACCTGGAGACCCATCTTGGCCACCTTCTCTGCCAGCTCTCGCCGGCTCTATAGCCAGTTACCACGGAGACAGGAGGCGGTTGCCATGGAAACCACGAGTGCAAGAACCAGCCAATCACTCTTGGAGTTGCACCTCCAGCTCACCTTTTGGATGGAGGCATTGGACTGGGCGGAGCCTTCTTCCCTTCACTGGCCCTGCACCATCTTCCCAGTCAGCCAGTGACGGTGGTGGCTGGCGGGAGCCGGGAGATGGAGTGCGGGGGGGTAGGGGGGTGGAGGGGTGTGGGGGAAGCTGTGCTGCCCGTCTCCCCGGAGCAGTACCAGCCCCCTCAACCCAGAATCCTCAACCACCACCCTAGGCCTCTTCCCAGCTAAGGGTCGATGCTACCGGCCTCAAATTGGCCCCGAATCCCTCATTCCTATGGGGAGGGGGGGGTGCTGCGGAAAAGGCAGGGCCGGGCGCAGGTGCCCCTCTTGCCCTCTCGGACCGCGCACCGCACCGCAGGGCGGGGTGAGACGGAGGGGGTGCCTCCCCATGCTCCGCAGTGCCGGGCACCCGCGCACGCTCACTTGGGGTGCTGGGCGGGCGGGGTGGCGCTGACGTCACCCCTCCACCGCCCGGTCGAGGGGCGGTGGCCGCGCAGGCTCTGCTGGGCGGCGGCGCCGTCAGACAGGGACGGAGGGAGCGAAGGACTGGAGGGCGCACGGCCAGGTCATGCCTGGGGAGGCTGCCCGTGCCGAGCTGCTGCTGCCTGAAGCAGGCCGACCCGGGCCCCGCACAGGTGAGGTCACGGCTTCTTCACCCGCTCTGTCTGTTCCCCTCTCCAGCCTTGTTTCTCGCTCCATCCCTTCATTTAGCCTGCCTCAGCCCCTTTCCCATTCTCTTCGCCCACTTGTCTCCTCCCGCGTTCTTTCTGCGCCTTGCCTTTCCCTTCACCTGAACCCTGCCCTTCTCGCGATCAGTACCGCAGGTAAGGGTGGGGGTGCGGTGAGTTCCCTCCGCGAGCCAGGAGCGACCTGGGGGCTTGTGCCCATGGCCTCTGACTGAGGGGTCGTGGGACTTATGTCCTATCTGCGTTTCATTGTCTGCACAGAACTGCAGACCTGGCGGCCTTGGGGGAGGTGGCCTGTTTATCAGTGGCCCCTGATGGAAGATGATGGGTCCAACTGGGCCTGGGGAAGATGAGAGCCTGGACAGCCCTACCATGAATGTTGGCCATGTGTGGTTTGGGTAGGGCCAAGGGCACCTTGCTGTGGGCGAGAATTCATAGTCACAGTCCACTGGGAATGGACCATTGGTGGGGTCTAGGACCTCGCGGAGAGGTGACACAGGCTTCTGGCTCCACTCTGGGCAGGAGGCAGTACAGGCCAGGACTTCTTAGGCCCAGGGTCCTGTGCTGGTTCTGTGCTGGTTTGACTGGTGACCTTGAATGAGTTACAAAATCCTTTGGCCTTTGGTTTCCCTTCCATTGCAACCTTGGCCCAGCTCTAACATTCCCCTGCCGTGGGGACCACTCCAGGGACCAGAGCCAAGAGCCCAACTCAGGGCACCTAGTGATGGCCCACTAGCCACACCCACTACTAGTGTTGGGTGTCAGGCATGCATGGACTCAAAGGACCCTCTTCTCTCAGGTTACCCCAGTACCCCAGCAGCAAAACCCTTGGGTGACAAGTCCCAGCTGGTGGCCAAGGGCCCAGTTGTCTGATGGTGCTAAGAGCAGATGGGGCAGCCTGACAAAGTGGCTATCGCCTCCTTCAGCTTCACCTCTAATCCTCGCTCTACTTTGCAGATGAGAAAGGTGAGGTGTAGGGGATGCTGTCCTTTCCACCAGTGAGTGTAGTAGAGCAAAAGTCACCAGGCAGGCATCTGTAGCCTTGAAAACTAGCCTCTGTGTGCTGCTCCTCCCTGGTGCTGGGCTCTGGAGGCAGGTGGGCCTTAATCCAATGCTTCAAACAGAGAGGTGTCCTTGGTCTTGGTTCAGGTCAAGAAGTGGATGTCACAGAGACATTGAAAATGAGGCTTGTGAGCATTTGGATCACACAGAAAAACACTTAAGAGATTATCTTGGATGAAAACAACTAGATTCAAAACTGAATGTGCAGTGTGATCCCACCTGTGATAAAAGCAGGCCCGTTAAGAGACCAGGAAGCAGAAAACCACAGTGGTGTTGTATGGCACAACTTCAGAGGGGTCTTATTCTGCTGCCTTGAGCCCCCAGGCGAGTTATTTCCCATTCAAGTTATTTCCTGGTGTTCAGGGAGTCATTCAGGACCTGGAGGTATTAGCCCACAGAGTTACCGAGCACCTGTGGCTTCATGGTGAGGTTTTGCTTGGGTTGGGGGGGGAGGGTTGCACCAGGGACCTAGAGATGGGCCACAGGCCAGGATGGCAGCTCCATTCCCGGGACAGGATCCTGTCCTCACATGGGGTGGCTCACATGGAGAAGACTAAGCCAGAAGCTTCTGCTGGTCCTTGCGCAGTTGTCCTGTGCTCTCACTGGACTCCATATTCACCATCCCTGCCCACTACTGCCCTTCTGGCTGGATGCTTCAACGCAGTCTCAGTGGGACGCTTCGTCTCTGCTCTCCAAAAACTTGGCTGCATGTGATGACCCCTGGGTTCCCCTTTTGCATGGCCACAGGGATGGGGGAGGGGAGCAGGGTCAGGGATAGAACCTTGGTGTAACCCTGACAAGGTGGCCTTAAGTATAAGCAGTAAGGACAGGACAGATGAGCCAGAGAGGTGAGACCTGGAATGTTCCAGAGCTGCACATAGTGTATGCCCCTGTCTGCTTTATGTGGTGCACCTATTGAGAGGTCAGATTCTGATCACTGGCCTCTCCTGCCAAGCCCAGCTGAACCCCTCTTATTGTGTGGGACACAGCAAGCCAGTCTCTGAAAATGTTAGCGGCATCTTGCTGAAATGTCCCTGAGCAAAGCCTGCAGGGCAAGTCCGTTTCTAATACCCAACAACACTGCCCATAAACTCCCTCTCCATAACGCTGCCATCAACTGCTCTCTGCTCTGTCAAAACTCCTGGAAGTTCTCCCTCAGAGACTATACCACCCCTTCTCTTCTCTTTCTTGCCTTCCTTGACCAGCTCTCCTCTGAGCTCTTGACAGCAGAAATCCACCTCCCCTGGACTGGCACCTGCCTCAGAGTTGCATCAAGGGATGCTTCATGTCCTTCTCTGTCTCCACAGATCTATCCTGTGATGCAGCTGCTGCCACCATCCCGAGAGGGGACCAGCAGGAGCCCCACGTCCTGAGCCCAGGGCCCAGCCCCCTTGCCCTCACATTCCTGCCCAGCAAGCCGAGTACCCGGCCACAGCCTGAGGGAGCCAGCTGGGATGCAGGACCCTATGGGGCCCCCTCAGCATGGGCAGACCCAGCTGAGGGCAGTCCCAGCTCAGTGTTCCTCCCTGAAGTTCTACCCCCCCAGGTTTTGTCCCCTGAGGCTCCTCTCCCGGCCACCTTGGAGGCACGGATTGTGATGGGCGAGGAGACGTGCCAGGCCCTCCCACCACCCAGGGCTGCCCAACCAGTGCTCAGGGACTGGGAGGGTGGTGGGCATGAGAGCCTAAATCCACCCCCCGAGTCACGTTCTCAGGGTGATCCTTCTGTGCCTTCCCCTCCCCTAGACCCTGATTCCTACTTCACACCTCCGTCCACCCCCACCAAGACCACATATACCCTGCCCCATGGCCAAGGGACCCACAGGGACACCTGGGACTCAGAGGCAGAGCTGCTGGATGATCTGCTGGACTCAACCCCGGCCTCACCCTCAGGCTCCTACATCACGGCTGATGGGGACAGCTGGGCCTCGTCACCCTCCTGTTCCCTCAGCCTGCTGGCCCCCACTGAAGGGTTGGACTTCCCCTCAGGCTGGGGCCTCTCCCCCACGGGGTCTTTGATGAATGAACGAGAGCTGCACCCTGCCGGGCCCTCGGGACCCCCGTCCTCCGAGTCCAGCCTCTCAGCAGACAGTGACTCCTCCTTGGGTCAGGAGGCCCACTTCTTCGACCTAGATTTCCTGGCCAATGACCCAATGATCCCTGCAGCCCTCCTGCCCTTCCAGGGCAGCCTCATCTTCCAGGTGGAGGCAGTGGAGGTGATGCCACTGCCCCCGGAGGAGGAAGAAGAAGAGGAGAAGGCTGGGGCTCCCGACCTGGCGGGGGACCTGGCCGGGGAGGGGGAGGAGGACAGCACGTCCGCCTCCTTCCTGCAGTCCCTATCTGACCTGTCTATCATGGAGGGTATGGATGAGGCTTTTGCCTTTCGAGATGACACCTCCGGGGCCTCTTCTGACTCAGACTCAACCTCCTATGCAGGAGCAGAGGACGAGAGACTATACAGTGGGGAGCCCCACGCACAGTCTACCACCTTGCCCCAGGACAGTGTTCTGGAGACAGAGGAGGAGAGCAGAGGTGGTGTCAAGGGACCACAGGCTCAGGAGGTGGCTGCACCCTGGGGTCTAGAGGCCACTCCTCTGGTCTCACGGGAAGAGATCCATCTCACCCAAAGCCAGGAGTCCATCGAGGAAACATCAGAAGAAGGCCTCATCATAGGCCAGGAGTCTGCTGCCACTGTGACCACTCATACTGTGCAGGCAGCCCCAGGCCTCCAGTTGGACGCAGTAAGCAGAGTGACCCTACAGGCTGGGGAGGAGGAAGCAGCCTCTGCCACTGGACAAGCTCCCACTGTCGGAGCAATGCCTCAGCACCAACAGAAGGGCACAAGCACTCCCTTAAACCAGGAGCCTGTCACTGCAGAAATACCTTCAACCCTGCAGGAAGAAGCAAGCTTCACATTATGCCCAAACCCACCTCAGAACTTGAAGGAAGGACGTCCAGGCCTCCCCTCAGGCCCACAGCCTGTGGCTGCAGTCACGCCTGGGTCCCAGCAGACTGAAGAGGAGCATACCTTACCCCAGAAGTGTGCTGTGGCAGCACCTCTGTCCCTACAAGATGCAGACTCCCCCTCAGGCCAGGAGCCTGTGGCTATGGTCACCCCTCAGGCTCTGCAAGCAGAAGCAGACTGTGTCCCAGGGACAGAGCCCATGACCTCCATGGACCAAGAAGTAGAAGTAGGTGTGGCATTAGAACTGAGGCCAGCACCTGAGGAGAGGGACAGAGTCCTCCCTAGAGACCTGGAGCCTCCAGCCTTGGACCAGGCTCAACAGGATGACCCAGAACCAACTGCAGAAGCAGAGGCCCCCTGGGCCTCACATGAAGATGCATGTGCCACCCTGGGTGTGGAGGCCCCCGGTCCTCCCAAGTCTGCCTCTGCTGCCGGGGGGGAATTAGCTGAAGGGCTTTCTGTGCCCAAGTGGGAAGCATGTCTGGAAGCGCAAGTGTACACTGGTGATGTTGCTGAGCCCCACTCCGTCCCAAATAAGGCCCTGGGGGCTGAGAACCAAAGGGAAGGAGGCCCTGCTCCACCAGCACAGGGACATGGACCTGGAGCAGAACCTCAAGATGCAGGGGAGGCTCCCAAGGCCTGTCCTGCTGCTTGCCCTGAGGTCCACCAAGCACAGCCCCTGAACCCAGCCACAGAGGGAAGGGGCCCAAGTGGCGAGGTTACTCCACAACCCAGGCTTCCCACAGCTGTGGACACAGAGGCCTGTTTGGGGTCCTGCCCAGAGTCCCCAGCAGAGGCTACATCTGGGCTGGACAGAGGCTGTCCTGAAGATTGTGCCCCTGTGTCTGCACCCTCCTCCCAGCAACTGGAGCCTGTGCTGGGCCTGGGCAGTGGTGAGCTGCCCAAAGAAGTACCCAGAACCCTCAGCCCTTCCTCTCCCCCATCCGGAGGATATGGTGCCAGGGGCCCACCCAGTGCACCCCAGGACAAGCTCCCAGGCCCTGACACCTCTACTCCTGGCGTCCTTGCCGGGGCATCCCCACCCCCACTGGAGCTCCCTTCCCCCTGCTTGTGCCAGGGCCCCCAGGAAGACTCCATGGGGGATAAGGAGCCCCCAGGCCTCCCACCGCCCCAGGCAGGAGCCCTGCCAGCAGCTGCTGCTGTCTCAGGAATCTTGCAGCCTCCAGGAGCTGGGTCGAGGGTCAGCCTCTTGTCCCACTCCCCCCTCAGCCCCAAGGCAGCCCCTATGGATGCCAAAGACCTGGCCTTGCTGATCTCGCCTCCTTGCCAAGTGCCTCCTCGCTCTAGGACCCGGAGCCCAGCTAACCCACAAGGGCTCCCAGCCTCTGAGCAGCAAGAGGATGAAGACAGCCTGGAGGAAGGTAGGGAGGAGCATGGAGGTGGGGCCCCCAGGATTCAAGCCAGTTCGACTCCTCCCCAGGGTTGACCGTCAACTGCCATAGCCCAGACCCCATGCTCCAGCATGGAGGGCCAGCACTGCTTCCTCTGGCCCCAGTGTGGCAGGAGGGCCATGTCCCCAAGTCCTCCCACTAAGAGAGACCATCCTTACACCTCTCCCCTTCCCCAGACTCACCTCAGGCCCCAGGCTCAGGCCAGCGCTCAGACAGTCATGGGGAGTCGTCAGCCGAGCTGGATGAGCAGGACACATCGGCACCTCAGACCACACAGTGCCCAGCCCAGGTGCCCTGTCCAGGGGAGCGGGGGGCCTCTGGGAGGGCACCATACCCTGACCCATGGTGCTCAGCCCTCACCTTCCCTCAGGCCCCAACAGGCAGCAGTGAGGAGACCATTGCCAAAGCCAAGCAGAGTCGCAGTGAGAAGAAGGCCCGAAAGGTGAGCTGGTGGCTCCACCCTGGAACTCCAGGACTGGGACCATCCTTGGTAAGGGAATGTCCTTCGCAAGACGCCTCATATTCCTCAACTAACCAAATCCCACCCATTGGGGACCTTTGGGTTAATGCCAGGGAGCCCGCAGACCTTTCCCTAAACAGCTGAATCTGGAATGTCACAAGAGCCCTTACAGACTCAGACCAGATCCCTTCTGTACATGGGGAAAGATTGACCACCCAGGGTCGCCAGGAAGTTTTGGTAGAACTTTTCGTTGCTTTTTGGGGCACTGTGCTGGCTTCTTCGCCCAAGTTGGGCTGATGCCAGCTCAGAGCCCAGCTCTGCCCTGTGCTCCCAGGCAATGTCGAAGCTGGGCTTACGGCAAATTCAAGGAGTCACAAGGATCACCATCCAGAAGTCCAAGAACATCCTCTTTGTCATCGCCAAGCCTGATGTCTTCAAGAGCCCAGCCTCGGACACTTATGTGGTCTTTGGCGAAGCCAAGGTCTGTCCTGGCCATAGCTATGGCAGAACAAGGGGAACAGGGGATAGGCAGTGTGTGGGCTCTACTGACACACACTGTTTCCTATGCGGCAGATAGAGGACTTGTCCCAACAAGTGCACAAAGCTGCAGCTGAGAAGTTCAAGGTGCCCTCAGAGCCCTCAGCCCTGATCCCTGAGTCAGCACCCAGGCCCCGGGTGAGACCAGAGTGTGAAGAGGAGGAAGACGAAGAAGAGGAGGAGGTTAGTTCCAGGGACTCTAGGACCCTTCATAGGGAGGGGTCTGCCTGGGGAGCCCTGCCTCCAGGGGAGGGATCTACCTAGGGGGCCCTCCAGGGAAGGGCTCTGGCCCAGGGGCCTCAGGCAATTCCAGCTACCCCCAGTTTCCCCCACCCTAGGTGGATGAGGCAGGGCTGGAGCTGCGTGACATCGAGCTGGTGATGGCCCAAGCCAATGTGTCTAGGGCCAAGGCTGTGAGGGCCCTGAGAGATAACCACAGTGATATCGTCAATGCCATCATGGTAAGCAAGCACTGGCCCCTCCCCTGCACCCAAGGGTCTCCCAGAGGTCCTGCTATTGGCTCTGCTGGGGGCAGGGGTGCCTCCTCCAACATGACACTGTCTGCGATTTCTGCAGGAACTGACCATGTAGCTGCTGACCTGAAGCTGGGTCCATCCTGCCCCTTCCCCCAGCTCTGCTGCTCAATAAATTGGTGTGCCCTCATTGCCCCTTGTGCCCTCATTGCCCCTTGTGTCCTCTCTCTGATCTCAGTCATCTCCTCATTGCCCCCTGGTGTCCCCTCAGCCCAGCTCTGTTCCTGTCCTTGACTCTTTCTGCTGGGGGGCCACAAGTGCCGGGGCCACATTTGGGCCAGGGTCTTGGACGGGCAGGCATGTGGCTACTGTGACTCTTCACAAAGAAGGCCCACAAAAGGCCAGGTTTAGCCTGAGAGGGGTGGGCTGGGCACTGTGACCTCCCCTCCCACCAGAGATGCATAAGGCAGGTTTTGGTAGGGGCAGGAGCCCAGAAGACTTTTTGGTTTGCCTTCAGTCTCTCCTGCTGCCTCCAGGGCAGGCCTATTTGCACGTCCACCTAGAGACAATATCAATAATTGCTTTTCTGCCTTCCCTGGCCCAAGACCCTCACATGAGGAAGCAGCTCTAGGACAGCCCAAGAAAGAGAGAATTCTCTCTATTAAACACTGTCCTGGCTACCTGCCTGTTCTAAAGCTGAGATACCATACAGACCCAACCACTTTGTTCTGGAAAGTGCTTTCAGGACACTCCAAACCTTCTGGCTTAGCTTATTCACAATTCGGACATCCACGAAGGCCTTGAGGCTCTGCATCCTCCCTCCACAGGCAGGGCCTAACAGGCAGTCCCTCCACCCAACAGGACATAGCCCCCAGCCTGGACAGTATGGGGATGTGACCGTCCAATCTCCTCAGCCTGGGGGCTTCCTAGATGCACCCTTGGGGTGGGGGCGGGCTCAGCTGGGACACAGATGCTCCCAGCTTGCTTTAGTGGAAGGAGAGGCCCAGGACAACCTGACCCCAGATTACCTCCCCTCCTACCTCCACGTGTCCCAAGGAAAGTTTGCAGGGACCTAAAGGGTAAAAGCAAGACTGAAGCCAACAGGACTTGTGGGGAAGAGCTCACTGGGGGTAGGAGGGAGACAGGGACAGCACAAGGTCACAGGGAAGGGCGGCAGAAGAGCACGTTGGTCTCTCTAAAGACCTGGACCTCAAGATGATGACGTCCCACAAATGGTACTCTGGTCCACAGAGGAGTATAGAGTTTGTTCCCAAGGAAGTCACCTGTGAGAGTAGGGGAAGGAAACTTTGTCCACTGCATAGAATATAACGATCAAGGAGTCCCTGGCACTCATGTGGCTCACACTATACCTGCCGCCCATGAAAGGCCCCAGAACACTTGCTCCTATCCCGTGTCTACAAAAATAAAATCCAAGTAAGTGCTTCCTGTGGCATGAGAGCTGCTGCCTCACACCAGCCCCGCCAATACTGTGCCCAGCCCTAGGTGCTGCAGGGCAGATGTGGCCCAGGGACAGAGGCCAAAATAGACACCTACCCTGGCTTTTACCCAAATAGATCAGAAACATGCTTGGCAACCAGAGATTAAATTATTCACATTGTGGTAAACTTCTTTTTAACGTCTCTGAGAGTTACATGGAAACATCATGTGCAAACTGACATCTGTCCAGGGCCCTGGCTGACAGGAGTGGCTCTCCCTGCCAGCTCAGCCCAGCCCTCCCCAAACAGGGATGTGGTGCAGGCTTTGGCAGAGCCCCGGTGGACGAGGCTCAGATCTTTCCACCTAGCACTGGGGTGTATCCCTCAGCAGCTCCTGGCTCCTTCACAGTGGAGGATCTGCGCCAGCCCTGGGGCCACCTGTGCCTGGAGCTCCTCCCCAGCCTCCAGCAGGTGGAAGGGGTGACACACAGGTCAAATCACTCCTCCCAGGAAGGCCTGGGATGACTGTGCAGAAGGTGAGGGTACTCCCCTGCCTGCCACCTGTCATGCTGAGTCCTGGTCCATGCTGCAACCCAGTGCCTCGATGTCACTACTGATGTCCGAAATCATGCGGTCCCACTCGTCCCCCTCAGAGGGCACCGACCGGTCATCGGAGCTGCCTGCAGCCCTGTTCCCATTGGTGGTGGAGCTAGATGTGGTGCTCAGCGCTCGACGGTGCCTGCCGAAGCTGTCGGTGATGATGCCGCGCCCATCCTTCACACCAATGGTCTCTAGGAAGTTCTCAAAGTGCTGGCTGTCCTTCTCAGGGATGAAGGGCCGCAGACCTACAGATACAAGATACCTAGCATGGCATCTTCCAGGTGGCCTCAGCCTACTCAGCTCTGCTCCCAGAGCTCAGAGTCCCCAGACGTGGCCATAGCTGCACCTGGGCGCCACAGCCTGGGTGCGCCAATGGCAGGCTTACCACATCTGTCTACTGGGGTTGAAAGCATGTGCCCTGGTGCCCATGGGCCCTAAGCAGCTTACTGCCTCTGGCACACCCACCCTTCCTGGCCTTGTGGCCCCTACCCAACAAGGTGTCCATGACCTCCTCTCATTCTCTATCAGTCCTCGTGAAGCCCTCATCTCACAGATAAGAAAGCTGAGGTACAGAACAGTCCTTGAATCTGCCTCCTAGCAGCTAGCAATGAGGGTGCAGTCTCTCAGAGGAAGGCCTCATGCCAAAACTTGCTATTTCCCAGCCATAGCCCAGCCTAGGGTGACCATCCTGACTTAGAAGGCCATCCTCCTATGCAGGAGGTTCAACGTGTCTCTCAGAAGAGACTGCTGCCTGCCCCTGTTGCAGGTGGGCAGGCAGAGCCCTATGCCAGGAGGATTCACAGGCCCCAGCATGAAAGGTATGGGGTGCTGTTTAGAAAGGCCTATGTGTGCCTGTGGTTCCAGCTACTTGGGAGGCTGAGGCAGGAGACTCGTTTGAGCCAGGAGTTGGAGGTTGCTGTGAGCTGTGATGCCAGGGCACTCTACCCAGGGGAACAGCTTGAGGCTCTGTCTCAAAAAAAAAAAAAAGAAAGAAAGAAAGAAAGGCCTATGTGCAGACAGCCTGCCCCAGCCCAGCCCTTTATCCTCCCATGAGCTCACCAGGCTTGGTTGAGGGTAACAAACCCATCTTCCTTGGCTTGTTAAGGGCAGGGGCTCAAGACTAAGAAGCCCTCAACTAGCTACCACCAACTTGCTATGTTCTAAGTGTCAGCAGAAGGAGAAGCTGCAGCCGAGTCACTGTCCCCTCAAAGTGAGGGGCTGATACCTGATGTCTGCCAATGAGAGTCTCAGTCCAGCTGTCTGAGGTAGCCCAGATCTCCCAGCCTGCCAGCTTCTCTGATCTAATGCAGTGAGCTCTTTGGGGTCTTGGCAAAGGCTGGTTTCTCTGCCTGCTTCTGCCCAAACTCCTACACATCCACCAAACCCATGTCTTCCTGACTGCTCTCCAGCACTCCTCCCACATCTCAGGGTTTTGTTCATTCCCAGCCCTGCTCCCACGAATGCTCTGCTGCTTCCTGGCAGGACCCACCCAGCTCAACTCAAGGGCTCCCAGGAGAGGGAAGGACAGTTGGTGGCCCCCAGCAGTCCTGGAAAGACCTCTTCTGACCTTGGGCCTGCACTCTGACAACCACCTCTGGTTCAAACTTCCCATCCCTGATGGAGCCCTCATCCCACCCACCTAGGAGGTCATAAGCTTTGAACTGGTCACCCTCTCAGGATCCCCCTCACCAAGCAGCAGGAACTTGCGGCTGTCCCCATAGAGCTGCCGCAAGTTGATGCAGAACTCATGGATGGAGGCCCCGTTGCGGTACTCATGCAGTCGAGTTGCAAACTGCTGGATCTCCTGTGATGACAGCTTGGTGCGCAGCTGCAAGAGAGCAAAGCCAGGTATTGGGCGGGGCACAGTGGGCAAGAAGTGGCAGCTAGCCCCACCCTGCTGTGGCTGCTAACCCTGAGGGGAGGTCCCATGGCAGGCACGATGGGCACAGTTGCACAGTGGGTGCCAAGCCCACACCAAGCCCCCTGGCCATCTCTAGCTTCACATCTGCATGGCCTATGCAGTCAGAATGCCCACAGTGCATTTTCATCCTGTCAGGCCTGGCCTGGGAGCCACCCAGAGGAGATGCAGGCACCCAGGCAACCTACTTCCCCTGAGCTGGAACACCAGCACCACTCGGGTGTGCAGGTGGCAGGGGGTCCACACAAGAGTCAGCAGGGTAGGGGTGGGAAGCTGGTGACCTGGTGCCCATGATGGTGCCTCGGGAAGCAAAACACATACAGATTGAGACAAAGCTTTCAATGACAAAACCTCAGTAGAAAGTGTCTGGCCAATGGCCTTTGGGGTCTGCCATCCCCACCTCCTGAGACTTGGGCATGGGCTATGGTCCAGCCCTGACAGCCAAAGCACTTCCAACTCAGCCCCACCAACCCCATGGCTCTCCCAGGCTGGCTCCTAGGAAAAGGCAGTAACATAGGTAAACTTGACCAGGTATGCTCAACTGTCTGCTCTGGAGTGGTCAAAGCCTGCCCCTGCCGCTGCCTGCCCTCCTCCCCACTTAGTGCCTACCGTCAGCATGTAGTCCTGCAGCAGCTCCGTGGCACTCGCGCTCAGCTCACTCTCACTGACTGTCTTGCCATGAGATGATGGCCGAATGTAGAAGGACAATGGCGACACTCCACCCATGTCCACAGAGTCAGGGAAGGAGCTGAAGGGGACATAGCATGTGGGCAGGCAGCTTCCCTGACCCCTCTATCCCACGTAGGTTTCAGGGAGCCTAACCAGTGCCACATGTGCACAGGACCCTGCTCTGGAGCAGGGAAATGGTGACAATAACAGGGATACAAAAGGAGAGCTGGCCAGGTGCAAGAGGTGTTCAGCTCGGCCTGGTTCTGGGGCTCCCATCAAGGTAGGACTCTCACAAAGGCTTTGAGGGAGGGAGGAAGCATGAGGGCCAAGGGGGTGGGCAGTGTTGTTGGGAGTGACAGGCTGAGGGAGGCCTAGGGGACAGTCTCCTCAGGAAGTGCCTGGAGCTGGGGAAGGGAGGGAGGGGTGGCAGGAAAGGAGGGCATGGGCTGAGTTCCTGCAGAGGGGACAGGCTATAAGCACAGGGCTGGCAGGCCAGAGACCCAGGTTTGCAGAGGAAAGACACTTATCCAATATGCCCTTTACAAGGTCACTCTGGAGGCCATAGAAGGGCAGGGAGAGCCCAAAGGGAGGGAAAGGCTCTAGAAGCTACCAACAGGGTAGGGTGACCACACAACAGGCAATGTGTTTGGTGTTTGTTTAACCCTGGGGCTCAGGGGCACATGTACTCACAAAGTGCTGGCTTCTGCCTCGTAGGTCTCCTTAATGTCCACTTTTGTCGAAGAGTCATCTGTAAGGAAGACATACAAAACCCAGGCAACTTTCAGATATGTGCAGAGGAGGCATTTCAAGTCCAGCCCCACTGCTACATTTATTGGAGAAAGTAGCAGGCCTGGCCTTCAGATGTCCTGCAGTCCTGCATCACTGAGTCACCCTGAAAGTGTCATGTGCTACAGGGCAAGGCCCCTCCCTGCACATTCACAGGATCCTGCTGAATGCACATTCTGTTGTAGCTGGAGTCCGTGGAGGGTTCGCACATTGCCAAAGCCAACGATAGCTGCCTTTGGGGCTATCAGCTATGTGCCAGGCAGGGTCACAGGGGTTTGTCTTCTTTAACCCACCTGTCACCTATCCTCACTTAAGCCAGGTCACACAGCAGAAGTCAGCCAGAACCAAGCAACTGACCCCCAGCCTGGACACAACTGAGGGCTTGGGACACCTATGACCCTGAGACCAGCAAAGGATCTGGTGCAGTACAGCTATGTGGGTAACACTCAAAAAGTGACAATAGGTCTCAGCAACAGACTGCAGTTCATAATTCCAAACCTGAGGAAAGGGACATTTCCACACCAATACTGGCAGTGAGCAAAACTTCTGAAAGGCAGGTAAGTCTTGGGAAAAGTATAAGACTTTACATGGGAGCAGAAAGGAAAGGATGGGAGAAAAAAGGTATGTTTCTGGGAGCGGAAACAAGGTAAGCAGAGCAGTCCGAATAATGGCCCATGAAGGTTGTCCACATCCTAACCTCCAGAACTTGTGAATATGTTATGTTACACAGCAAAGGAGAGTTAAGGTTGCTACCCAGCTGACCTTGAAATAGGAAGATCACCCTGGATTGTCTAGGTGGGCCCAGCATGATCACAAAGGTCCTGAAACATGGGAGAAGAAAGGCTGAGAGTCAGAGGAAGATGACAGTGGCCTATGCCATGGGGTGGCCATGCACACTAAGGAAGGTGGAGAGCAAAGCAAGGGGCACCTCTTGGAGCTAGAAAGCAAGGGCAGGCTTCTTCCCCTGGAGCCTCCAGAAGGAGCCAGCCCTGTAGACACCTCAATTTTAGCCTATGGAGACCATTTGGACTCTAACCTATACAATTATAGAACAGATCTGTGCTGTTTAAGCTGCTAGTTTTGAGGATCTGTCATGGCAGCAGGGAACTTACTAGTATTCAGCAAGCAAAGCCCTGAGAAAGAAGCAAGCAGAGGATGTGTGCACATATGTGTGATATTTGTGTGCATATGTATGTGCGGCTCCTGCAGAGAAGTCTTGGGATAAGGCTGGCAGGGCAGGAAGCCCACTGAAGGAGCCCCGAGTAGAGGAGTTACAACAGCTTATTTAGTGAAAACTCATTCAACTGTATACTATGACCTGTGTACTTTTAGTAAAAAACTTTATTAAAGAAAAAGCTTTTTTCTCCCATCCTTTCCTTTCTGCTCCCAGCTAAAGACCCCAAGGCTGGGCACTGTGGCTCACACCTATATTCCCAGCACTCTGGGAGGCTAAGGCAGGTGGATTCCTTAAGCTCAGGAGTTGGAAACCAGCTTGAGCAAGAGCAAGAGCAAGATCCCATCTCTAAAATAGCCAGGTGTTGTGGTGGCTGCCTGTAGTCCCAGCTACTTAGGAGGCTGAGGCAAGAGAATCACTTGAGCCCAAGAATTTAAGGTTGCTGTGAGCTATAACATCACAGCACTCTATCAAGGGTGACAAAGTGAGACACTGTCTCAAAAAAAAAAAAAAAGAAAGAAAAGAAGAAAAAAAAGACCCCAGTGGGAATTCTACTGCACAAGAGCCAAAGCAACCACACTGAAATTGGATGTTAACTACAGCTCAATAAATCACCTGCTCTTTGCACAGTGTATCACCCTGGACAAGCTGCTTACCACCAAGCCTTAACTTCCCTATCTCTAAAATGGGGGCAAAGACTGTATCTACCTCACTGGGTTGTCAAGTGAGTGTGCCTGGGTTGGATGCAGAGACTCATGCCTATAATTCCAGCATTTTGGAACACTGAGGCAGAAGGATTATATGAGGCCAGGAGTTCAAGACCAGCTTGAGCAATATAATGGGACCCTATCTCTACAAAAATAAGCCAGATGTGGTGGCATGAGCTCATAGTCCTAGCTACTCGGGAGGCTGAGGCAGGAGGACCGTGAGCACTCAGAAGTTTGAGATGCAGTGAATTATGATTGTGCCACTGCATTCCAGACCAGGAGGACAGAGCAAGACACTGCCTAAAAAAACAAAACAAAAACACATGCCTGAGTGCTCAGAGACTACGCAGGGTGTGAGGTGCCCACCACACAGGGCTCTGGCTCGAAAAAAGGAAGAAGGCACTGAGCTCCTGCTCTCACACCACGCATGGACTTCCCCAAGGCTCTCTACCACTTACCTTCTTGGCTGAGACGTGAGAATTAGCATGGAGGGGTAGAGGGCTAGGACTTATCTCCAGAAAAAGAAATTACAGGCAACAAGCTGCATTATTTCCACTTTCTTTTTATACAAACCATTAACCCTCAATAATCAATATATTTGAGAAATAGATGATCTTGGTGTTCAGAAGATTTGGCTCAAGTGACCTTATCTATTAAGTTACTTTGTATGAACTAATGGATTCCAGATGCTGCTCTATAACCAGCCTACATGTGATAGCAGCTCTGAACACGGGTCTGGCTGTGCAGCCCTCAGCAACCCCTTTACTTTCCCACTCAGCACATGGGCTGCCTCCCAGGGCAACCTGGGCAGCACCCCGCAGGCCTGGCCATGGTCCCAGAAGGAGCCCTCACACTGAGAACAGCCATGTCTGGACATACAGAAGGTCCCCAGAACCACTCAGCCTTCTCAATTCTCTCACATGCTCCACTTCTAGGAGACTTCTCCTGGTCCTGTCTTTGTTCTGAGTTAGGTGAAGCAATTTTAGACACATGTGGTTCTATAACAAGTGTCCATGGCCACCAAACTTACACCAGGAACCCATTGAGCTGGCCCAGTGTTTGTGCTGAAAACAGGTCCCTGAAGGACAGGCAATGTTTTTGCTCTGATTAAATCCTATGGACTAGTATGAATGGTGGAATCTAGAAACAAAGGCCACCAGCAACAGCAGTAACTGTGCTAACTGTCCCCATTGTCACTCACAGGGAGGAGAGGGCCACTGCAGAGGTCCCTCCTGCCCCCACCCCAACTCACTGCCCACTCTCACCAACATACCGCTGTGCAGGGACAGGTGGTGGGTCGGGGTGGAGGCCCCATCAAATATCGCTCTGTCCAGAAAGTCGATGGTGGATTCCGTGTACACAACCTGGAAGACCTGGCCCAGCAGGCAGCAGAGCTCCTCCGCAGCGACCTGCAGCAGGGGGACAGTAGCTGCTCGGTCAGCCTGGCAGGGCTGGGAACTATGCCTTCCCAGGAAACTTCCAGGGAATTTCTCAGGTGTTCGATAAATATGAATGACACTAAAGTCAAGCACCTCTCTGCCTTCCACTGCCCACATAGGGTGTCAAAAAGAGACTTGGCCAACTAGAATTCCATCTAGGACCAGATGGCGGCCCCCATGTGGCCTTGCAGATATGAGGAGACAGTGCAGAGCACAAGTATCAGCTGCCTCCCCCACCTCCTCGCAATCTGAACCTACAACTCCTACCCTAGCCTGGGAAGGATGGGAGAGAAGCTACCAGAAGTATCACAGTCCACCTGGAGGTAGGGTTTTATAAGTCTGCTGTGTAAAGCAGTGGCTCTCAGCTGGAGCGAATCTGCATCCCTCCTGGGGGCATGTGGCACTATCTAGAATCATTTTTAGTTGTCCCAAGGGCAGAGGCCAAGGATGCCTTTCAATACCATACAATGCACAGGGCAGCTCTCCAAACAAAGAATTATATGGTTGAGATGGAAACAATGACTAGAGGATATTTTATTTTGTTTTATTTTAATTTGTTAAGTTATTTATTTATTTATTTATTGAGACAGAGCCTCACGCTGTCACCCTGGGTAGAGTGCTGTGGCATCACAGCTCACAGCAACCTCCAACTCCTGGGCTCAAGCGATTCTTCTACCTCCGCCTCCCAAGTAGCTGGGACCACAGGCGCCTGCCACAACGCCTAGCTATTTTTTGGTTGCAGCCATCATTGTTTGGCGGGCCCAGACTGGCTTCGAACCCGCCAGCTCAGGTGTATGTGGCCGGTGCCTTAGCCACTTGAGCCACAGGTGCCAAGCCTAGACGAAATTTTAGATGGAAGGTCACTACTATCCATTTTACAGATGCAGTGACTCTTGGAGGCCGTATAGCTTCTGGGTGGCTGAGGGGAGCCACAAACCCACAAATGCCCAGCTGTGGCTCTTCCAGTCTGCGAGGAAACTGCAAGCCCAGTCCTTAATGCCAGGCAGGTCAGGTGGCCACCACCACCCCCAACCAGGAAAGAGGAGAGTGAAGCACCACGAAGGGAAGAATGATGAGCAAACAGCCTGCCGCAGTCCCAGTCTCAGGAACAGGACTGAGGGGGGGAGGGGCTGGGCTGAGTGGGACCTGGGGTAGGACTGGGGACGTGGCCACAGGTAGAAAAGAACTGTGGGCTGGGCCAGGGTAAAGGCAGGGCCTGGGGCAGAGCTGGGTAGATGGGCAAGAACTAGCTAGGTCCAGGGCCCTGGCCAGGGCTGGGCATGGTAAGGCAGGACATGAGGGCCTAGGTGGAGCCAGGGGCAGGGCCTGGCCTGGATAAGTGTGGCCTTAGGAGGTCTCACCTTGCTCTCTGCAGCCAGGATGACCAGGCAGCATGCTTCCACTGGCCCCACTGCGCTCTCTGACAGCGAGCCTGCACTGAGGCCTCTGGAACTTTCCGCACACAGACTCTGGCTGGGGGAGATACCCGGGTCCTGGGCTGAGAAGTCAATACCATCTCAGGTTAACGCAGAAGGCAGGCAGGTGTGATGGACACTTAAGGCACCAGCCCGGGCTGCTCTTACAACGCTGCTCGAGGGACCTTTACCTGGCTTAGGTGACTGTCAGAAGACCAGGTTGATAGTCCTGCACCAGACACACCCTCTGGGCAGGTCCCCTTCCCCTTCTTTGCCTCCCTAAACAAAGGTAGAACCAGTTGATACCTGAGTACCTGGGCACCAGAGCTTGAGTCACCCTGCAATTTCACATGGTTTAAGTTTATACATAATAGACCACAAACAAAAGCCTGAGAATAGTCTACCTCCATAAGGTTTCCATGTGTTCCAGTCCAAGGCACTCTTTTCTTACAGATGGGTAAACTGAGGCTTAGTGAGGCGAAAGGTATGGACTGAGAATATGTGAGTGGCAGAATCTAGGTGATGATCTAGGTGGTCAGATCCTGGTGCCCCTGTTTCTAATGCCCTACCCACAGCCTCCCCATGTGGAGAGGTTCTCATGTGACACACAGGGTGACTTCAGGTTTTTTTGTTTGTGTTTTTCTTTTTGAGACAGAGTCTCACTTTGTCGCCCTGGGTAGAGTGCCATGGCATCATAGCTCACAGCAATCTCAGACTCTTGGGCTCAAGCAATTCTCTTGCCTCAGCCTCCCAAGACTTCAGGTTGCCCAATGGCAGGAGAGAGGCCAATGTCTAGACAGCAGGACTCCAAGAGCTAGCACATCAGTCAAACAAACACGGGAGGACTTCTGGGCTAGAAGCAAAGCCTAGAGTGCCCCTAGTGCTGGGGTCTTAAGGGCAGGCCTGCATCGGTTGGGGGTGGGGGCGGGGGGGAACAAGGAGGCAGAAATAAGAAGCTGCTGGGGGCTCCATGAGGGACAGCTCCAGAGCTCCACAGTAAGATGGTGAGCACTACTCTGTCCCTGTGGCAGCCACTGGCCACAGTGCTACTGAGCACATGGAACATGACAAGTCAACACCAAATTGTGAGTATAAACTACACAGAGGGCTTCAGAGCTGACAAAACAAAACTTAATAGCTGTAAGATTTTTATACTGATTATATGCTTACATGATAGTATTCTGGACATAAAGGGCTAAATCAAATATATTAATGAAACTAATTTCACTTGTTTCTCTTTACTTTTTTAACATTTTATTTTTTTTTATTTTTATTTATTTGAGACAGAGGCTCAAGCTGTCACCCTGGGTAGAGTGCCGTGGCATCATAGCTCACAGAAATCTGAAGCGATTCTCTTGTCTCAGTTTTTCTATTTTTAGTAGAGTCAGAGTCTTGATTTTTGCGGGCTAATCTCAAACTCCTGAGTTCAAGTAATCCACCCACCTCGGCCTCCCAAGAGTGCTAGGATTTCAGGCATGAGCCAGAACGCCCGGCCTTTTTTTAACATTTTAAGGGTGGCACCTGTGGCTCAAGGAGTAGGGCGCCAGCCCTACATGCTGCAGGTAGTGGGTTCAAACCCAGCCTCAGCCAAAAAAAAAAAA